ACACGCACGCGGAGACACGCACGCGGAGACACGCAAGCGGAGTGTGGCCGATATGGGCAGTGGTGGCAACGCTGTGCGCGGGAAGCAGATGTGAGTTATTTTGTTTATATCAACTGATTTGTTGATATCAACTGTTTTGTTGATATGTTTTGTTGATATCAACTGCAAAGAAGACTGTTCCTGTTTTGTTGACATTTCACAACGCTGTTGAGAGCTCACGGAGATGGGCGGAAGGGTGTTGACCACCTCTCTGTGGGGAGTTCGTGTGTTCTACCTTTGTTCTTGCAGTGAGAGCGAGTGAGTGGAGTTTGTATGTTCTCAACCTGTTCTACAGTCAGAGTGAGTGGAGTTCGTATCCCCCCCCCCCCCCTGCTCTACAGAGTGCGAGTGAGTGGAGTTTGTGTGGTCTCCACCTGTTCTGTAAGGGGTCTCCTCTGGATCCTCCACTTTAGTTAAATAAAGCATACAATATAACGGGGATTGGCCAAACATCCCAATGCTAAAAAGTGACTTGCACATTTCCTCAATTAGGATAACACGAGGCAACATTACCCGTGACTGTGAAAACTTGGCAGGACCCTCTTGAAAATGTTCCTTGAGGCTCTGTGAGGTGTTCCTGGGTACGCGAGCAGATTCGTACTGACGATTGCTTCGCAGTCGCCTGCTTCTGAGGTTGCGCTGGTGCTCGTCCACGTGACGTGGGCAGCAGAGTGGCTGCGGCTCGTGATGTCGCTTACATTTATTTGCCTCTGACCTGAATGTTTCAACTGAAACGAAATGCCCTTTTTGCAATGACGGAAGAGCAAATAATAAAATGTCCTATTCGTTATGTTCGACCACTGTTTAACATGTATTCTCAACTCTTTGGTTTTTTTCGGTAAAGTCAAGTAGAAAGAAAATAAATTACAGAATCACAAAATAATAATAGAATACGATGTTAGTTTTCTCATTCATTCTTACCTGATGATGGCTGCTTCTGTTGCAATCGAAACGTCGTTTTCTATTATTATTACATTTATTTTCTTTCTAAGTGACTTTGCTGAAAGAACCAAAGAGTAATTCCTGCAGTCACGAAAGCTTCGAATCTAGTTTGTATTCTATAACTTGGTTGCTTTTGTCCTGGTGTCTCTGTGTTCCATTGCTGGTCTGTGTTTGTGCGTTGCCGCTTTGTCACGTTGGTGGGGCTCTCTTCTCGTCTCTCGCCTTCTCACCTGGCTCAACAAAACAGCTCAGACGTCTGTTCAAACACAACGACGCACGATAAGTAGTTTCCGGCATTATTTTTCGTTAATGGTTAGAAGCAGCATCTAACTGTATGTGGCGTGGCGTTGTGAAGCAGTCTCGTGATGAAGCGGCACTCGCGTGCCACGAGCGGTGCAGGGGAGTGTGGTGACTCATCTCGTTAGGGGCATTAACGACTCTATCGTTCCCGGAGCCTCCCCTAACCCCCAAGCAAAATCGAATGTCGGTGATACGATGGGGGCAGGTGGCGCGGTGATAACACTCGCGCCCCACAGCAACACATTTCTACGACTCGGTCTGTTTCTGTGCGGGGTTTGTATGCTCTCCCCCTTTCTCAACATGGGTTTCCTCCGGGTTACCAAAAAAAATCATACCCTGTACCTGGTATTGGTCAAACATCCAAATTCCAAAAATGACCCACAAATTACTCAGTCGGGATTTCACGCAGCAACATCGCCGCCCTTTCTGAAAAAAAACTCGGCAGGACCTTCCTGCCGAGTTGATAAACGCGCTCTTCCCTGCCTCCACTGCTGGCCCGATCTCCCGCGACTCCGACCTCACGAGTCCCTGCGCGGCACCTAAGCGCTCCCGCCCGGTTTGCGGAGTAATTGAGTGGAGGACCTTTGAGCGATGGTCCCAATTTGAACAAAGTGCGCGCGTCGGCGCCCACTATTGACTTTTCCTTGCAGCGCCGGCGACAAAGCAGCTGTTATTGCGGCACGCAGGCGACTCGCGAGATGAACTGCCCTGCCCGCAGCTGCATCAGCCGTGTCCTTTACACCAACACGCAACTCACGAGGGGACACTGCCAACAACGCATCGCTGCATTCGCGAGGCAGTCAACAAACGCGTGCGCCCACGTGGACCCCGCGCGACGACGACGACGACGAGGCGAGGAGCTCGTCTCGTCTTGGCCGGAGGGCCGCGGCCCCCCCCCCCCCCCCCCCCCCCGGGTGGCCGAGCTCGCCAGCCGAGAGACGCGACACTCGCACCCCACGCCCAGCCGGGGCCGCCGCGCCAAACGTGCAATTACCGTCAAGCCGCTCCTGCTGTCTTCTGTAAACTGATCAAGTAACGTCCGTGATTTACAGTGGTCACTGAAGGTGTAACTCGTTACTTGCGCAACTATTAAACGCAAACAATTCAAAACATTCCCTTTATTACGCACGAGTGGCCCAATTAGAACAATCTTTTGATTGCGAAATCTCCCAATCGCATGTGGATGGGGACGCGTTCACGGCGCTACCGTTGAGGACAAATCATCTGGTCACCTCTTCAACTCTATTTCATCCCGCTTTGTAAAATTGCCACCGTTACTACCAAATGCCGTGTAATGTATGACCGTTATTACCCACCTTGGCCTGCTTTACAAGAATGTTTCAACAATGGGAATATTTAATGATATTCGCTGTGAAAGTGAATTTTCATTGTCGCAATGAATGGGCAGTGCTTTAAAGAGACCCGACGCGATGCACGGATAGCGGTGTGAACATGCGGGCACTCTTAGAGACCCCGTGAGCCCTTGCTTCTCAAAAACCCCCCCTCCTCCTCTCTCACTCACGAGTCCCTACCGACCAGCTTACACATCGAGCCAATAAAATATTCATGAGTGGCATATTACGGTGTGTAATTTACACGGATATTACTATAATTGGCTGACAAGGAAATTTAAATCGCAGGCATGGTGAGGGTTTCATTTTGAGAAGCCCAAGTCGCACATTTTATTTTACTTAAAATTACATCTGGAAAATGTGTGCGTATGAGAAATTTCACGTAAAATAAAACAAGATGACGCACGCGGTTTGCGTGATTTTTATGCCAAAACTAGTTTACAGAAACACAAATATCGGCATAAACGAAGCTCTCCCTCTGCACTCCGCAGCCGATATGCGGGAACGAGAGTGCTCTATATCCGTCCGTCCTTTGACCCGAGTGTCTATGAAGAATGCAATTGGCGGCGGAAGCCAATAGATATAATTGAATGATCAATAGCGCCGCGTGCTGTACACCGCAGACGACACGGACCCCACCTGGTGCGGGTGACCACGCGTGTGGACAGGACCGGTGCCTTGAGGCGCCGGGACAAATGTTCGCATGCGGTTACAATGCCCCGAGTTAATTGCCACGAAGTCGGCTTTGTGGCGTTCAATAAATGCCACGTTTGTGAATATTCACGAAATATTGCCACCTCCAGAGGCGGAGATAAAACAAACTTCCCAAGGGAAAGGCGATGACGGGTCCCAACATTTATAGCTCTTTAATAGGACCCCCTACAGTAATTACACAAACATTTAACGTCTTTCCTCTTTAGTAATAACGATAAATACTTATTTCCGGGTCTCAGAGGGCTGGGTGGGGCATTTACCCTCATCAGCCGCTCTCTTCTGAATCTGCCACTGGGGCTGCGTCTTAGCGGACACGGCGATGCGTGGGGAAACTGGATGACAACATCCACGGTGACCGCATGCCGTGAGCACATCTGAGTCACAAGCTCTGTAAAGATTCGGTAACTTGACTCCACGTGCCGCTGCCTATGGCACAGCAGCGGCAGCGGCGGTGAAGGTCACGGGAGCGGCGCCCGCGCGCGGGGCCCTCCCCCCGCAAGCCCCGCGTCTCGCGAAAGCCGCCACCGCCACCATCACCACGGCCACCACCACGGCCACCGCCACCATCACCACGGCCACCACCACGGCCACCGCCACCACCACCACGGCCACCACCACGGCCACCGCCGCCGCTCGCGCTGAGTTTGTGTGTTCGGTGCGGGCGCGAAGATCGCCGCTGCAGTAATCACGACGATCAGGCGACAAGCGGAACGCGCCGTGATCGTCGCCGACACGGCGAGAGCGCGCGAGTCGCATCTATCTGCCTCGCTCACTCGCTGCGGATGCACCTCTCTCAGTGCGGCCAAGTGCGGCCAAGTGCGGCGCCGCGTGTCGCGCTGATTGATCTCGAACCCCGCGCGCTGGGGCAGCGGCGCCTCGCGGGGCTCCAGTGGCTGCCACTCGGCCTCATTGAGCGCGCGGCACGGGGCTGGGGACGAAGCACCCCCCTCGTGTCGGCGTCGTCATCTCCCATCGCTCATCTCCCATCGCTCATCTCACATCGCTCAACAGCAGGAGCAATGATTGCTCAAACTTAAAGAGAGTTCCGCACAAGAAAATACAATAAATCTTCTTTGGTGCCTCCTTGGCCAGATTATTGACACAGACATTCCATGACAGGCAAGGCGAGATTGTTGTTCCAAGCATATCATGGGTTACTACGCGGCTAAGAACACCACCGTTAGATATGAAGGGAGGCACTGTGGGATTGCCAGCTTGGTGTGATGTTGTCATCTCGGCCATGAACAAGCGTCTCTGAATGAGTGAGCCGCCACTGTGAACCACGCACCCCGCTGCTTCGACAACATCGACAGCATCGACAACATCGACAACATCGACAACATCGACAACATCGACTCGGGCCGAGAGCCTCGCTCGGAGAGTGGAGACCTCCGCTTCGCCGCGCCACGGGGGGTGACACTAAAGTCAACTAAACTTGTTTTTTTTATTTTACCAGGTAAGGCCCACTGAGTTGTATAGCTCTTTGTCAGAGGTGACCTGGACACAAATTGCACCTCAAGGAAGCGGTTTGTCACGTGGAAATGTATAGCAGCCAACTACTCTAAACGCGTGATGCTCATTCTAAATGTGGAGGGAGAACCCGGAGGTCCCGGAGAAAAATGCACGCGACCACGAAGAGAGAGACACGCAAACCTCAAATGTACAGCAGCAGGCGTCGTCAGGGTCGTGCTAGGACCCACGACCTCCTGTAGACCAGGCGAGGGAGTTAACATCTCGCCACCGTGGCGCCCACACACAGCGAGCACCTATGTATGAAGGCCGGCACGGCACATGAGGGGGTAGGTGACCAGCACCACGCCCGACCGCCTTTGTCTTCGTAGTCGATATTTACACATCGCACCGGGTACTAATTTCAGGCTGAGTCGACCTAGGGGAGGCCCAGGACCTGTTCAGATAATCGTCACTGGTGGTGGCCGTGAGCGGGAATCGAACTCGGGTGGCCAGGATCGTTGCGCAACGTAGCACTAACCACGACACCACCGCTCCCCACACACACAGACACACACACAGACACAAACACACCGCCTGACGCACCTGACACACACAGTCTGACACACACACAGCCTGACGCACACACACACCGCCTGACACACACACACACAGCCTGACACACACACACAGCTTGACACACACACACAGCCTGACACACACACACCGCCTGACACACACACAGCCTGACACGCACACACACCGCCTGACGCACCTGACACACACACAACGCCTGACACACACACCATCACCCACACCAACAGCAACACCCACAGCAGGTGCGGTGTGCACACGTGGTGCGGTGCACACGTGACGCGGTGTGCGCACAGCAGTGGGCTGGACACACACGTGGCGTGCCAACACACACGCGACGCCTCACTGATGTGTGTGTCTGTGTGTGTGTCTTTGTGTCTGTGTGTCTTTGTGTCTGTGTGTGTCTTTGTGTCTGTGTGTGTCTTTATGTCTGTCTGTCTGTGTGTGTCTGTCTGTGTGTGTCTGTGTGTGTGTCTGTGTGTATGTCTGTGTGTGTCTGTGTGCGTGTCTGTGTGTGTGTCTGTGTGTCTGTGTGTGTCTCTGTGTGTCTGTGTGTGTCTGTGTGTGTTTGTGTGTGTGTATGTGTCTGTGTGTGTGTCTGTGTATGTGTCTGTGTGTATGGGGAGCGGTAGTGTAGTGGTTAGCCCGCTGCACTCCGAATCTGGCGACCCAAGTTCGATTTCCGCTCACGGCCAACACCAGTGACGATTATCCGAATCGGGCCTGGGCCTTCCCTAGGTCGACTCAGCCTCAAATGAGTACCTGGTGCGGTGTGTAAACATCGCCACTGGGGATACAGAGGCGGCCGGGCGTGGTGCTGGCCACCCACACCCTCGTGTGCCATGCCGCCCTTCATAAGTGCTCGCTAACAGCACTTGCCCCAACAAGCTATACGGGGGATCTTTGTTTTGTGTGTGTCTGTGCGTGTGTCTGTGTGTCTGTGTGTGTGTCTGCGTGCGCACTCTACATTAAACTTTTAAGCAATCGGCACCGCCGCGTAGGCAAATGCGAGAGATGGTGGCCACCGTGCACGACTATCGCCACTAATGCATCGCGTCTCGTGTCAACGTCACGGGCGTGCTGCACCACCAGCGATGTGACAGCTCCAAATGCGGCGGCGGGCGGGAAGTCCCCGCACCCCTCCGACTCGGCGCTGCTGCCGCTGCTACAGCAGCAGCAGCCTCTCTCTGTCTCTCTCTGTCTCTCTGCCTCTCTCTGTCTCTCTATGTCTCTCTGTCTCTCTGTCTCTCTCTGTCTCTCTGTCTCTCTGCCTCTCTCTGTCTCTCTCTGTCTCTAGGCCTCTCTCTGTCTCTCTGCCTCTCTCTGTCTCTCTGTCTCTCTCTGTCTCTCTGCCTCTCTCTGTCTCTCTCTGTCTCTCTGTCTCTCTCTGTCTCTCTGTCTCTCTCTGTCTCTCTCTGTCTCTAGGCCTCTCTCTGTCTCTCTGCCTCTCTCTGTCTCTCTGTCTCTCTCAGCCGAGGGGGTCTCCAGCGGGACGGCGCCGCCCGCGTGGCGTCTGGGGGGGTCTCTGCGGGGTTGCCGCCTGCCGGGTTTCACTAAAGGATGAAGACGCCGATCCGAGCCTTCAGGGGGGGGGGGGGTCGGTAGGTGGCGGGACGCCGATCAAGGTCGGCACGACACGCGAGGGTGTGGGGTGGCCAGCCCTCACGCCCGGCCGCCTTTGTCTCCCTAATGCTCACCGGACAGTCCGGTAAGTGGCAGGAACTAAATTAATTTGTACCGAGATCTGGTGGTTGTGGAACTTTACTGTTCACAAGACGCCCCACCGCGTGCACGAGACCCCAGCGCACGGGCTTGGTCTCTACAGAGGAGGAGGTGGTGGTGCTGTGGGTGTTGCTGTGGGTGATGGTGTTGGTGTGGGTGTTGGTGTGGGTGATGGTGTGAGTGTGGGTGATGGTGGTGTTGGTGTTGCTGTGGGTGTGGGTTTGGGTGCAGTGGGTGTTGGTGTGAGTGTTGCTGTGGTTGTGGGTGATGGTGTTGCTGTGGGTGTTGGTGTGGGTGATGGTGTTGCTGTGGGTGTGGGTGATGGTGTGGGTGATGGTGGTGTGGGTGTTGGTGTGAGTGTTGGTGTGGGTGCAGTGGGTGACGGTGCTGTGGGTGTTGCAGTGGGTGTGGGTGCAGTGGGTGTGGGTGCAGTGGGTGTGGGTGCAGTGGGTGTGGGTGCAGTGGGTGTGGGTGCAGTGGGTGTGGGTGCAGTGGGTGTGGGTGCAGTGGGTGTGGGTGCTGTGGGTGCTGTGGGTGCAGTGGGTGTGGGTGCTGTGGGTGCTGTGGGTGTGGGTGCAGTGGGTGCTGTGGGTGTGGGTGCAGTGGGTGCAGTGGGTGTGGGTGCTGTGGGTGCTGTGGGTGCAGTGGGTGTGGGTGCTGTGGGTGCTGTGGGTGTGGGTGCAGTGGGTGTGGGTGCAGTGGGTGTGGGTGCTGTGGGTGCTATGGGTGTGGGTGCAGTGGGTGTGGGTGCTGTGGGTGTGGGTGCAGTGGGTGTGGGTGCTGTGGGTGCAGTGGGTGTGGGTGCTGTGGGTGCAGTGGGTGCTGTGGGTGTGGGTGCAGTGGGTGTGGGTGCTGTGGGTGAGGGTGCAGTGTGCGCGCAGCGGCGCGTCCCGCGTACTCACCGCCGCATGCAGCGCGCCGAGAAGGAGGAGGAAGAGCAGCAGCAGCAACAGAACTCAGTAGCAGCAGTCACTGCTGCTGCTGTTGCGAGAAGAAGACGCGGGTCCTGCGTCCATGGAGACCGGCATGGGGGTGGTGGTGGTGGCGGTGGCTCCTGCACAGCAGCAGCAGCAGCGCCCAGCGGCTGCTGCTGCAGCTGATGTGTGCGAGGCGCTCAGGCGGCGGGGGGGGGGGGGGGGCACGAGGAGCCGGGCTCCCCGTCGAGGAGACGTCGGAGTCCCAGGACCCCCCAAAGGGAGTTGGTGGAGCCGAGCCGAGGCGGCCACGCCACTCCCGTGGCGACTCCCGCGGCAGCCGCGTGGGCGCAGCAGCAGCGGCAGCCGCGTGGGCGCAGCAGCAGCGGCAGCAGCAGCAACAGCAGCAACAGCAGCAGCAACAGCAGCAGCAATAGCAGCAGCAGCAACGGCAGCGGCAGCGGCGGCAGCGGCAGCAGCGGCAGCGGCTCCCGCACGCGTCTCGCACCTGAGCCAGCGACACACGCGCACACAAAGACAAAGGCCCCCGTATAGCGCTAACGCACTATTGGGGCAAGTGCTGATAATGAGCACACGTGTGAAAGCCGCTGGCAGGGCACACGAGGGGGTGGGTGGCCAGCACCACGCCCAGCCGCCTTTGTCTCTCTAGTGACGATGTTTACACACCGTACCGGTACTCATTTGAGGCTGTGTCGACCTAGGGGAGGCCCAGGACCGATTCATAAAATCGTCACTGGTGTGGCCCGTGAGTGGGAATCGAACTCGGGTGGCCGGGTTCGTAGCGCAGCGTAACTGTTAAACCACTGCGCCACCGCTCCCAACACCCAGACACACAGACGCACACATACCAGACACATACAAAGACAGATACACACGGACACACAGACACACGGACACAGACACACGGACACACACAGACACACGGACACACACACGGACGCACACACACAGACACACGGACACAGACACACACAGACAGACACAAACACACACACGGACACACACACAGACACACACACAGACAAACACACGGACACACACACAGACACACGTCACCTGCGCTGTCTCGGCGCGTCGAGCCTGGCGAGTGGGGCGCTCCGCGCTGCGCCCTCCACGCCCCCCCTCCCCTCCCCGCCAGGGCCACCACCACGACCACCACCACGAGCAGCAGCAGCAGCGGCGCTCCCTCCCTGCGGAGCGCCGCAGCCGCGAGAGCCGCAGCGTCGCCAGCATCCCGGGGCCCTCCCGGGGCCCTGACTCGCGACTTGCTGGGAGAGACTCGCGCGGCAGGGCGCCGTGTTCATCGCGCTCGGGCGCCCTGCCCGGCGACTCCCACAGAGACTCACACAGCCAGCGACTCACACAGAGATCTCACACAGCCAGCGACTCACACAGCGACTCACACAGAGACTCACACAGAGACCCACACAGCCAGTGACTCACACAGAGACTCACACAGCCAGTGACTCACACAGAGACTCACACAGCCAGTGACTCCCACAGAGACTCACACAGAGACTCACACAGCCAGCGACTCACACAGAGACTCACACAGCCAGCGACTCACACAGAGACTCACACAGAGACTCACACAGAGACCCACACAGCCAGTGACTCACACAGAGACTCACACAGCCAGTGACTCACACAGAGACTCACACAGCCAGCGACTCACACAGAGACTCACACAGATACTCACACAGCCAGCGACTCACACAGAGATCTCACACAGAGACTCACACAGCCAGCGACTCACACAGAGACTCACACAGCCAGCGACTCACACAGAGACTCACACAGAGACTCACACAGCCAGCGACTCACACAGAGACTCACACAGCCAGCGACTCACACAGCCAGCGACTCACACAGAGACTCACACAGAGACTCACACAGAGACTCACACAGCGACTCACACAGCCAGCGACTCACACAGAGACTCACAACAGCCAGCGACTCACACAGCGACTCACACTGAGACCTCCCGAGACAACAGCACTCTGCGAGGGACACGGTGTCACATGGTGAGGAGGTGGGGGGCTCTGCCCCCC